CCTGGCTCCTGGCTTCAGTTCAAATTGGCTCTGCTCTGGTTGTTGCAGACATGTAGGGATTGAACCAGCGGAAGGAGATCTCTTTCCTGCTGTCTCTCCTCTCTGTACATTTGCCTTTCCAATAAAAGCAAATCTTAGAACATGACGTGATAGGTGCAAAGGAGCTGCAGGTCAGGGAAGGAAGGGGCTGAAGCTGACCCCCCGCACAGCCCTGCCCGCGAGGCAGCTCACCACCCCGAAGCTGAAGGTGTCCGTGTCCACGGACAGCCTCCCCGTTTGGATGTAGTCCTCGGGCAGGTAGGCCAGGGTGCCCTGCACGGTGCGCGTCCGAGCCACGGCACTGCTCTGGCTGGGACTGGCTCCGGCGAAGCAGCTGAAGCGGGCCAGGCCAAAGTCCCCCAGTTTTGGTGTCAGTCTCTCATCCAGAAGCACGTTGGAGCTCGAGGAGGGAAGAGAGTGACGTCAGTGCAGCTGGGACCCGCCCCCTGCGACGACCCGGATGCCCTGCACAGGCCGCTGGGACCCCCTGATAACCCGGATGCACCGCACAGGCCCCTAGCTCCCTTGCACACCTGCTCACTGCTGGGCATGTCCTGGTTGGAGGTCCCAGGCGGTGCCCACTTCTGACACCAGCAGACTGGCACAGGCTGGCTTCCCTGAATCCAGGGCCCTCCTTACCTCTTGATGTCTCCATGGATCAGGCTGGGGCTGTGCTGATGTAAAAACTGAATGGCCCGGGCCGTGCCCAGAAGCACGTCCAGTCGCTGAGACCAGGAGAGGAGGGTGCCAGCCTGCGTCTGGGGGCAGCAGAGGGAGGCTGAGGGATGGGCGTTCTGTAGCCGCCACCTGTGCTGCTCCTGTTGCTATATGGCCTGCAGTGGACCCGCTACTTTCCTCTTGAGGGGCAAACTGGTCAGGAAGTGCTTGTCCTAGCTCATTCTTGGGGGGCAGATCCTGGGCGAATACGGGGCTGCCTGGCAGCCCAGCCCAGTTCTCAGACTTTACCAAGAGTTCCAGGCCTGGGGCCAGCAGAGTGGCCTAACAGGCTAAGCCCCTGCCTCTGGCACTCGCACTGCATATGAGCACAGATTCGTGTCCCAGCAGAACCCCCTTCCCACCCAGCCCCCTGCCTGTGGCCTGGGAAAGCAGCAGAGGACAGCCAAGAGCCTTGGGACCCTGCACCCGCATGGGAGACCCAGAAGAAGCTCCTGGCTCCTGGTTTCAGATCAGCTCAGCTCTGGCCGATGAGGCCACTTGGGGAGTGAACCAGAGGATTGAAGATTTCTCTCTGTCTCTCCTTCTCCATGTAAGTGCATTTCAAATAAAAGTAAATCCTTATCAAACAAACAAAAAGTCCCAGGCTTGGTGCCGAAGTGCCAGCAGATGCCTGGTGCTCTGGGGGCTTGGTGAGCCTACCTGGTGATGGAGGCAGTCCTGCAGAGAGCCATTGGCCAGGAAGCCATAGACGAGGCAGTAGCAGCCGCTCTCAGCACAGTAGCCAGCAAAGTCCACGATGTTAGGGTGCCGGAACCTGTGTTTCCAAATAAAGGCGACCCCTTGCCTCTGGCTCTTGACCCTCACCGTCTGCCACGGGGCCGGGCCGAGTATGTTCCTTGTTGGGCCCTCAGCTAGGTTAGTGCTGACAGGTGTCAGGTCCTGAAGGGGTCAGGGTGTTTCTTGTCCAGCTGGCAGGGCCCCAGCTCACCTGGACAGCTGCTGTACCTCTGTGAGGAAGCTTTGCTTCACTGCGGCCCACTCGAGCTCAGCCTCCTGCGGGCACAAGGGGCATGGGCGAGGTGGCAGGGAAAGCGGCCAGTCAGTGGGAGGCTTCCCGCGGCCAGCGGCCATGTGCCCTTGCGCGGGGCTCAGAGAGCCTGGGTGGGCTGCAGCAGGCATGAGGTGAGGCCCGGCGGCGGGCTGGGACCTACCTCCTTCAGCCTCTTGACTGCATATATCGTGTTCCTCATCACGGCCCGGTACACGCACCCAAAGCCGCCCTCCCCAACTTGGAGCTCCTTGGAAAAATTTCGAGTGCCCTGCGCAAGCTCGCAGAGGGGCCAGCAGAAAAGAGACGGGTGGCTTGCATGCAGCAGGGAGGCTGGGTCCTCTGGCCTGGGCTAAGACAAGGGAGTCGGCATGAGACTGACGCTTTGGCCCACAGCCCCGTTCCGGCTGCCTCCCAGTTGACCCAGTTTGGCTGATTGCTGGCTTTCTTCCTCTTTGTCTGGAACCTTCTTTGGGGCTCAGGGGCGCCTACCTTGGTGGAGGAAGGGGCTGGAGATGGCCGTGGAGGCTGCAGGGAAACGACGGCATTTGGGATGGAGTGACGTTCGGGTCCCAAATGTGTTCCAGGAGGACCTGGAGCAGCTTCATAGAGATGCCAATGAGCGGCAGGCTGAGAGCAGTGGCAGAGGCTGGCGCTAGGAGCCCCTCTTACCTGGGGAGGGGAAAGTGGCGGCGGTGGATTGCACCTTCTCGGGGTTCCAGTCCTTGGTCTCAGAGGATGTGGTGATTCGGCTGGGCCTAGTAGCCGTGCTGCTGGGGAGTGGAAGAGGGGAAGGAGGGCGCCCTGGGATGCCAAGGAAGGAAAGGCAGGTTGAGGCCTCAGGCTGTGGGGTGGGGGTTGGGGCAGCGGGAGTGGGGGCCAGCCGTCCAGATTCCGGGTTTCTGGGGCCGCACGCTCACAGGCCGTAATGATGTCCCGCGCGCGGAGCAGCTGCAGGTGCGTGAGGATGTGCACGAGGTCAGCTACGCGGGCGTTGCGGTTGATCCACGGCCATAGCACGCTGGCTGTGCGCTGCGCCGAGCGCTCGCAGAGCCGCAGCTCGGTCTGGTCGCGCACGATCAGCGCCGCTGCGGGGCCGCGGGGGACGAGGGGCGTCAGCCTGGGGCACCCGTGCGCCCGAGGCCCGCATCCCCGGCCCTCCCTCCGCCCTCCACCCTCTCCCGCCACCCACCGAACTGGCACCAGTCGGAGGGCTCCAGGGCGTCCATCACTTTGTAGAAGCGGCACATGACCCAGGAAGGCACCTCATACAAGAAGTGCTGGGCGCCGGGGACCGTGGGCTCCCCGGGGTCCGGTCCCCCGGCCATGGCCGCCGCCGCCGGCCCCGGGCCTCTCAGCGCCACGGCGGGCGCGGGCCTGGGCCGGCCAGATCCGCGGACACTGACTCACTTCCCCTTCAAACCGGCCTCGTGCGACGCCCAGCGGGGCGGAAGAGGCGGTGCCCCGGGCCGCCGCCATCTTGCACGCCGCCCCCCTTGGCCACACGAGGGCGCCCTGTGCCGCCCGCGATGGCTCACGGGGAATGGCCCCCTCACCGGGCGAGCCGCTCACGTGAACAAGTCAGCGGCAACCCGGGGATCACAATCCTTTGTCCGGGTGCCATGTGAGTGTGACTGTGAATGTTGCGGAAGGGCTGCCAGCACTTGGGGATAAGAGCAAAAGCAGAAGGTGTTCCTGAGAGGCAATCAGATCCTAGCTGATGCAAAGCACTCTCTCGTGAGGCCACTCTAAGTAGTCCGGGCTTCACTTGGAAGCTGTTGGAGAATGACCAGGATTTCAGGCTGCATGGCAGAGCACTACAAAGACCTTCTCGCCCCGCCTCTCCTTCCCAATCCCTGCTGCTTGGGTGATGAGGTTGGATACAGGGAGAGTGGGCTGGAAGTGTGTTCACCAGGCCAACTTGCTTGCCTGCAGCTGCTTTGCGGTTGCTTCATGCGACCTGCCCAGCTGTGCTTACTCTTTGCAGGACCTGCCATTTTCCATCATTGCTGGCTGCCTTCCATGCGAGTGTGTCTCAACAACATGCCTTGAATCTGTTCCTAGGGGTGAACCTTCAGCCCCTGCTGTCCATCCTCCATTTTCTAAGATCTGTTTCAAAAGCAGAGTTAGAGACAGAGTGTATAAGAGAGCCCTCCCACCCGCTGGTTCGCTCCCAGAACGGCCAAAACGACTGGAGCTGAGCTGGTCCAAAGCCAGGAGCCTGGAGTTTTTTGCATCTTCCACATGGGTGCAGGGGCCTAAGCAGGGAGCCGCAACACAGCTGGAGCAGCCTGGACTGAGGTGAGTCGGGCGCGTTCCGGGTGCCATGACCATAGACGAGAGAGCTGGGACTCAGACCTGCACAGGCCTTTGTTGCACCTCCCCTGGGAGTGTCAGAGTCTCGTCACTTCTCCCAACGCCTTTTTGGAAGCGGTCACCAAGCTCCGAGGCCTAGCCCGTCCCCTCTGCTTTCGTCCTCATGATTTGCCTTCTGTGCCCACTCCTCGGCCCCATCGCCTGACATGCTGCAGACCCCTCTTACCTGGACACACAGTCGCTCGCTGTTCCTCTCTCCCCAGATGATGGGAGCTCCTCAGGCCCCAACCCCATCACAGCAGTTTGCTGTTCCTGAAGTCCCAGCACCGTTACCAGCTTGTCCTTGCCTGCCCAGCTCGAGTGCACCTTCTCCCACAGGGCTGAACTCAAGCAGCACTGCCGTCTCCGCCTCTGACGGTGCCCTTCGCCCTCAATCCCTCTGCAGCAATTTACGGCCAACCTGTCCCCTGCATATGAGGCTAGCCCCACGTTCAGCCCCAGTGGCCTCACTAGGTTCTACCAACTCAAGTGTTACCACAGGCACCCACACTCAGTCTTGTGGCAGTGGAGATGTGGTCCTTCTAGCACAGAGCTGGTATTCACTGACCGCTCCAGGCCAGGAGTGTGCAGGGTGAAGTCAGCAGGCCACTTGGAGTCCACTGCGCCGCGGCACTGTGCACACAGCCTGCTAAGGACGCCGTCAGGGCAAACCTGGCTGGGGAGCAAGCGCAAGAGTCAGCAGAGGACCCAGAGCCCCGAGGCGCACCCCCAGAATCAGCTGTGCTGTAGGCACCTTCAGGCCGGGCAGCTGGAGCATGAGGAGGCTGGGCCAGGGAGGAGGGGCGGAGCAGCTGGACATCACACTGTCAGGGGGCTGCAGGGGACTTGGGTCTTACAATGAAAGCCCAGACCTTGAGTCACTTTCACAGAGAGATTTATCGAGAATGCTAACAGCACAGGATACAGAACTTCCCAACAAAAGGTGCAAACGCGTCACTTAGAAAGGCATGCTGAGTATTCTTTGCTTTCACATGTATTAAAAAACTTACAAAAATAAAATAAAACTGCGTGCTGCCCATCTTTTCAAATAGTAAAAGAACCTTATGAAAAAACCACTTGATTTTACAACAAAAGACACAAACGGACATTTTTATGTAAATTTATAAGGCAAACTCTTTATATAATAAATAGGTTACAGGGATTCAGTGTGGGGGTGTTTTTGAAACGTGTACAGGTACATTCAGACAGGTTTACTGAAATGGTACAAATTTCCTTAATAAATTGCCTTTTGTTTTTAAATATATCAGTGCTTTCAGTCATTTGGCTATACACAAAGAACCTTTTTTTTTTGAACACTACAAAAAAGCAATCAATGTTTTTAATTTTTAAAACGACCTACTTAATTTCTAAAGTAATTGTCCCAAAACACAAAAACCGAGAGGGGAATGTGACCGGAGTGTTGAGGTGTCTCCAGCTGAGCCGCCCCAGGCACACCTCCCCGCTTCACAACCTGGTCCCGCAGGGCTGCCTCAGGCCACGCCCATTTGGATGCTCAGTGTGATGCTGGCAGCTCTTGCACGCCCTGTGCCGGTGGGCAGCATCATGGACACCCAGTTCACAAGCCCCGAAGCACGTCTCCGGAGGGCAGAGGCTTCTCCGAGAAGACCCTCTATTGGTGTGGAAAGGGAAGGCGATGCCTCATGATCAAACTTGGCATTGTCCTGGGACAGGATGGTGGGACAGACTCGACTTTGTAGGAGGGGTAGAACAGGGTGTGACAAGAGGGTCTAGAACAAAGACTGGTGCTTCCCCCGGGGCAGGTCTTGCCTCTCCATGGAAAAGTTGTGCCAGTGGGGGAGTGGCCAATCCACCTGCCAGTCAGCCTATCTCTGGCCTGTCCCACAGGTGGGCACCCCAGGCCCACTTCTGAGTCGGCTCTGCCCGCACGCGGCCCCTCCCGGCTGCCCTCAAATGAACACATGACAATGACGGCCACGCTCTTGATGAGAGGGCAACAGAGAATGTACCGGGCGCAACCGAAACCGTTTTTGCCAACTTTGAAATGGTAAGGTATCGGTTCTCTTGGGCTGCAGGCTGGGCCTGGCTGAGCTGGGAAGGGATGCACTTCCTCAGGGCTCCCCTCACGTTTCACTGAGACGTCCCCCGCCCTCTGAATGCTTTTGTTTAAAAAAACAGAGAGAAAAACAAAACAAACCAAAACAAAACCAGAAAGACAGGTGTCTAGAAGCATTTGTCTCTGGAACAATTACTTTAAACATGGTTACAATACAGATTTCAGTTCAAACACAGATTTACTTAGCAAAGTTCCTTTCACCCACCAAAAATTACACAAATAGAAACCTCAACAGCACAGTTAAGAGGACCAGTAGAGAGAACCTCATGTTTGGAACACAAAAGGAGAAATGCAAACCAAACCCAAACCGAGAAACCCCAGGAAGACGAGGGGGGCGGAGGAGGCGCCACAGCGCAGGCCAGCGTCCAGGGGCACGGCAAGCTACTCAACTCCTGACTCCAGAGTGGCTGCCATCGATTGAAGCAGTGACAAATCAAATGGAAAAGGAGGCCGTGGTAGCAAGGGAAGGAGCGGGCTTCGAGGTCGGCAAGCCTTCCGCACTCCACCGTCCAGCTCCCCAGAAGCACTGAGCCTGCCGGCCGCTCCAGCTGCACGGGGCTGGAGGTCAACGCACGCGACACCGATTCGGCGAGGACTTGCCGGCAGTCAGAACGCACGTATGTGCACACCCACCTGGTAGTGGCCCAGCATCAGTGACAACGGCCTCTTGGCCTCCTTTGCCACCAGCCTTGGCAGGGTGGTAACGGACGTTGCAACCCATGGCTAATACTGAACATGCGCGCCCAGGACGAGGCTCCGAGGCCGGCCTGGCCCCGCTTCCTCCCAGGCCGAGGGGTCACCTGGCCCTCAGTGGGCCAGAGGCTGTTTCTCTTTCGGATTCAGGCCTCAGAAAGAAGCAATGACACAGGGAGGGGAGACTTTGGCCCTGGTGATTATAATGCTCTCTGCTTTGGAAGAACAAGTTTCTGGATTTTATTTTTTTGGTGTTTTAAACTACTTAAAAATGATCCAAAAGAACCGTTACAGCAAAACTCTCTGGCAGATATTGCTTAAGAATGACAAAAAGCAAATGCAATTACTGGTAAGGAAGGAAGAGAGAAGGAGAAGGGGGCATTTCTGGAGTCTTCCCTACTTCTTAGAGGGGACCCCCTGGACTATAGCATGTGCTTCTGGGGTCCCCTGCCTTCTGTCTGGTGCAGCTCACCGGGCACTTGGCCCACCTTTCTGCAGGTTCCGAGACTTGGCAAGTGCGGAGGGCTGGTCTGCTCTGAGCCCTGCTGGTCATGAGCTTCCCTCACCGGTCCCTGGGGCGTCGGGCGGGCAAGGCCGGGCAGGGCTGAGCCACCCTCAGCCTGGGGATGCAGTGCACAAGCTGGCACTGACCAGAGCCTCCTTCCCTTGGCACAGGGAAGCCCTTGGAAGAAGCAAAGAAAGACCACAGATCTGCTTGCACAGAAAAAGTGACCAGCAGACAGATTTGTCAGTTTTTTTTTTTCTTCTTTTTTATTTTCCCTTGTCCTATGCTATGGTTATCAGAAATATTGTAATTAAGCAACAGGTATAATTTTAATAGGTCTCTTTTTCTTTATGTGTGGAGCCACAAGCAAAATGAGTTTATAATTGTGCAATATACAGATATATATATATATATATATATAAATTCAACTGCTTTGTGTGTCTAGTCGGTGCGTCAAATAAAAGGGACAACAGAAAACTAAGAGCAGAACTAAAAAGCCAAGCCCAGGCCTGCGGAGACAAAGCTGGCCTACGTGGAGTCTCTAAGTCACTGGGTTTATGCGAGTCACCAGCGTCAGGAGCTTCGCCCCTGAACTCACACACACAATGCACACAGGGAGGGGGCCGCCAGGGGACAGGAGCCAGGCCGCTAGCCGTTCCGCCTTGCCCTGCTGGGCAGGACCTGAGAGACAAGCCAAAAGAGGGGGAAGCAAAGGGAGCCCAGGCCTCCTGTAAGTTGCCCCACATTGACTGGAACTGCAAGGTGCCATCTTCTGGCAGAGCCTGGGCCTCCCTCTGCTCCTGGGGAGAGGGGGCAAGGTGGCCTGGGGAGGTGGCAGGTGACTCTGGGGCCAGCTGCACGGCCTCGTCCATCAGCCTGAGGGAAGTCAGGGAACTGAGTTCTGGCCCACTGCAGGCCATGCCATGGGCAGAGGTACCTCCCCATTCCCGCTCATTCCCGCTTGGGAGCAGGCTCGGTGAAGATGCAGAGACCGTGGCAAAGAGGGTCCTTGGGGACAGTTCCAGGAAGGGGATGGGTAAAAGCGACTCCCCAGTAACAAAAAGGCCTAGTGTCTTCAGAAGCCCGACTCCCTCCTCCAACCCGACAGGCCTTAGGCCACATGTCCCCATGTCTGTGTCACTCAACAGACCTCTTACTCATTCAGGAATAACTTCCTGTTAAACAGCTTCTACCTTTTCCCATCTAAACTGTTTCCATGTTCAATTTCCCCCTTTCCTAGATAAATTCTCCACCCTAGACATCTCTAATGATTAAATTATGTCTTCTAAACACCAGTACAATACCTAAAAGAGAACAACACTAAAATGAAGAGAATCAACAAATGCCTTCCGAGTTCACTTGATGGTGAGAGCAGGAGAAAGAGGATGCGGAGGGCCCTGCTGCGCCCGACCCAATCCCCATCCCGTGGCATGTCATCTGGGCAAATCCTGAGTGGGATTTGCACCACCAGAATCTGGCCAGGACTCCTAGAAACTGTCGATGCGATCTGACTCAGGCAACAGAACCTGGAGCAATGAGCTAAGAAGGTCTTGTCGGTGGCTTTCTGCAGCCCGGTAGGCCCTGAGCGCTGGAGTCAGGGCCAGGGCTGCAGCAGGCGCGGAGGCACAGGGCTCTGCTGCAGGAAGCCCAGCCAGCCCCTCCCGGTGCCTGCACTTCACACTTTTGCTCTCTCCTGGGCTTGAGCAGCTTTACTAAGTTACTTTAAAAATCCAGAGGTCCTGTCAGCTCAGGAAAATTCCTCTCCCCAGCGAGCCAGCTGCCCGCTTTCCCCAGGTCTGCTAACAGCAACACGCTGGGTAGGTGATATCTGGGCTCGCTAGAGATCCCATTCGCACCTGTGCTGTCTCCCCAGGCCATGAGGTGAGAGGCCGGAGTCCTTGCTGGCACGGCGCCAATGGGCCGGCATCTCTCACGCCTTCCGCCTTCCGGCATGCTACACCTGCACAAGGGGGCCAGAAGCATGCCAGAGCCTGGCTGCAGCCGAAGGGCCTTAGCTCAGTGCATCGCCAAGGCCAGCACTTGCCCTGGGAGCAGCTGGAGGACATACAGTGTTGTGGCAGGAGAGGAGGTAGTGGCTAACAACTAGAACAGGGTAGGGGAGACTGCAATGTGACCTAATGACCTAGCCTCAGGGGGATCTGAAAGCTACGGGTCAACTCCTGTATTCTTCACATATTCATGGAAGGGTACCCCCCCCCAATCTTCATAGTGTTCAAGTACGGACAAAATCGAGGTCACACCCCAAAACTGGGCCGGACACAGCTGGTGAGAATCCCGTGGCTTAAGGCTTTCCCTCCAATCTCCTGTCAACCGGACCCTAAGGCAGGAGTGCAGGGGAGCTGCAGGGGCCCTTCCCCCACCTCCCAGGATGATACCCGGACAAAGCTGCCTGCTCAAAGGCGACTGCTGCCTCAGGATGCCTTTATCGTGGGAAGAGGGAATGGGGAGAAAGGGGCAAACAGTGAGAACTCTCTGAGAAACCTCAGGCCCCAGCTGCGCGCTCAAGGACAGCGGCTGGGAAGGGAGGGAGCTGCAGGGCCCGACCAGAAATGCCGTGTTCCCAACCGCGAATGCCCATCGGACTCATGAGGAAAGTGTGGCGGGTGCTGGGGGTGGCAGATGGCCCCACACTACTCTTCCCAGGATCAAGGGATCCAGCCAATGGGGAGGCCACCTCGACACTGGGCCCAGGAGCCACCATTCACTGGACTAAGCACAGTGTTTTGGAAACCCGACTGATTGAAACAGGTATCTGCTCAGCGACAAGCTGGCTGATGCCACTCCTGCAGACAGGTGTCCTTTGGAGGTGCAGGGGGTGTGAGGCCACTGTAACATCAGGAGCCTTTTGTTCTTGGACTTGCCCCTCTCTTCTCTGAGCCCGCCCCCTTCTTCTTGGGGAGGAGTCAGGAGTGAAGGTGGGAGGAGCGACAGCAGAGCGGCATTAGGGGCCGGCGCAGGCTGATGGGAGCCTGGGAGCGACTCGCTTTCACAGCACAGGGAAACGGAAAGTCCAACAGAATGGGGCAAACTCCCTCACTCCTAACCATTCCAGAAGAGACAAACACGTTTTTTTTTTGTTTTGTTTTGTTTTTTTTTTTGTTTTTTGTTTTTTTTTTGTTTGTGTTTTTTCTTAAGCTACTGATTGGAACTGTCCACTATGGTTCCTGATCACTAAAGACTGGCAAGGAAATGCTAGACGGTTTCTAGGTGTTTCACTCCTTCATGGTTACACCGCAGCAAGGAAGCCAGGGGACAATAACTGAAATACACAAGACAACACGCACGTGACAGTTCATGGCAGCAGCTCACATGGGATGTGCCTGTGGGTGTTTCTGGAAGCATAAGACTGCTGTCTCATTTGCTACTTTGATAAGGTACTTCTCAGCTGAACAGATTTAGATATAAGAGACATCTCTGTAAACACAGAAAAGGATATACCAATATGATGAAGATATGCAGCTAGATAAGGACTTCCTGAACGGAGCTTAGAAAGATGGGGTCCCAAACAAAAACTGATTCAAACCCCACAGCAAGCCCGAGCCTGCAATGCCCACAGCACAGCCCACGGACCAGACCATGAGAGTGGGGCTGTGCTGGCCCCATGCAGTCTGCACTGAGCAAAAGCACATTTCCAGAGGAAAAGGGGGAGTAGGAGAGGGGCTGGGGGTCCAGGTCTCGGGAGTGTCTGCACTGGTTCTTCCAGCCACCCTGCTTCACGCTGCTCATGGTCAGACTTCTGAGTGAGGTCAAGGCTGGCAGCGTTTGAGCCATGCAGACCACAGGGCGCTGTCTAGGCTGCCCCAGCTGCTCTGGTGCACTTCTCTAGAGAAGTGGGTAGAGCCTTTGGCCACTGGTTTCCCAGGGAAGAGAGGGCTGTCTATGGGAGCAAGCCCTTGCCAGCGAGCCCAGGAACTCTTCAGGGCGGAGCAGGGTGGTGCTGCTCCTGGCAGTGGGAAGGCAAAGGGCAGGGAGAATTCTAGGACTCAGAACCGTCCAGTGGGTGCCCGGGCTACAGGTGGGTACTGCAGCTGTTGGGAACAGAAGGGATGTAGTGGGAGGAAGGAGGAAGGGGTAAAAAACTGAAAGGATGAGCTGGAAGGAGGGCAGAGATGGAAGGAGAGAAGAGGAAGCAGTCAGGAAGTCCTTATAAAATTGCAGCAAACACTTAGAGTTTCGGAGCTTCGTGGGAACCCTCTGCTGCGCCCACTTGAGAACAAGCGCAGGTATATACAGACCCAGGTAGTTCGGAACACCATCATGTCTGGCAGCTTGAGGGACCAAGGGTCACCAATTCAAGCAGGTTTGCTCTCAGAGATTGTTTTGAAGCGGGAACATGAAGACCCAATAGTGCAAATAATCCTAAGCTGTCCCTACAGGAGAACCGGAACCTAACTGCAAGAACACTGCCCTCTCCTCTCAGCCCATCCTGCTGCTCAGTGGGAAGCGCCTCTGCCCAGCCTGCCCGGGCCCCACATGCCGTAGCCTCAGGGCATGTGCATGCACTTGCCCTTGCTCGCTCGCTCGCTCTCTCTCACAGTGCCATCCACTGGAGGCCAGCCCTCCGGAAAGGGGGGCACCTCCCCGGGGCCAACCTGTCCTGCAGCAGATAGGTGCTACTTTGCTTTCCTGTGACACGTCTTGGTTAGTTTTGGACTGGGGCTAGTGTGGGGCCATGCTAGTGCCGCCACGCATGGGATCACATGGGCCACACCACTGGCCATCACCATCTTCGTCTTTAAAGAATCCCACTGTCTCTGCTGCCTCACACCTCCCTGTCCCAGCCTGGTCAGCTCTGGTGGGGGGAGTCAAGGGAGTTGGGGGGGGCATCGATGGCACCAAAAATGGGTGTGTCCTCTCAATGCTCTCTGTCCCTCAGGAGCACACGGGAAAAGGTTCGGGTGGGAGGGCAGGTGCCTGGTCAACAGCTTGGCTGGTCAGTAGTATCTGCAGCAAGCCTTGTTGAAGGAGCCTAGTTAGAAAAGTGCAAAGCTGCTTCTGGCCCTGGTTAGGTCTTCAACCTGACTGTGCTTGTCGGTAAGAAAAACATCCCCAAAGCTCCAACTACTCCCTCCCTGAAGCCACGAAACTCTAAGTTTACTGAAAGAAAAAAAAATATTTTTTTATTTCAGTTAATCGGGAAGCTTTGTCAGAGCCCTACCCATAAGGAGAAGAGACAACAGCTGCCTTTATTCTTGTTGGTTTGCTTTGCAATGCACTCTGTGTAAAGTCAGCTAACTCTCTCGGTCACGGGCGTCCGGCTGTCCACAGGCTCCTCTCTGTTTGGCCTTGGCATGGAGGATGAGACAATGTCTTTGCGCTCTCCCTCCCCTCGGTGTTTGTACTTGTCTGCAGCCGTGGCAGCAGCAGCAGCGAGCGTGGGCTGAGTCTTAGCTGGCTCCTTGGGGCAGCCGTCGCTCTCCAGGGAGCCTCCTCGGGGCATCTGCTCCTCTTTGCAGACACCGCTGCTAACGTCCTGGGGCTCAGGCGGGCTGCTGGGGTCCTCGGAGCTCTCGGGCTCTGGGGGCTCCGGGGGCAGGGGTGGGAGCAGCGGCGCGGGGGCCGTCGGGGACTCCGGGCGGTGGTGGTGATGGTGATGCTCCTTCTTGGGGGGCGAGGAGGCGCCGCCGCGCCCCTTGGGGCTGCTCTCCTTGCCTTTCCGCCCAGGGCTCTTGCAGGTCTTCAGTCCCTTGCCGCTCTTCTCGCCGAGGCTGGACACCAGCAGGGGCTTCACCACCTCCTTGACCTCGATGCTCACCGTCTCCCGGGTCTTGCGCTTCTTGATGGGCAGCACGGTCTCCTGCACTGAGCGGATGGAAGGCTCCTTCACGGCTTTCTTCTTGGCCTCAGCAGCAGCAGCTGCCACCACACTCCCAGGCTTCCGGCCCCGTTTTTTTGGAATGGCCTGGGGGTCAGCCTCAGCTTTTCGCTTCCTGCCAGGGCGTTTGATCACCATGACCTGAGCAGATGTGGTGGCCCCACCCCCCTCAGCCTTGCCCCCTGGTGACGCTTGGAAAGGCATCTTGACGAGCAGCTTCCCAGGGCCTTTCTCGAGGACCCTTTTCACCTGCACACCTTCTGATGCTGCTGCCTTGGGTCTCGTGCTGCCACTGCCTTTGGGGCGTCCCCGACCTCTGCCAGTCCCTGGAGCTTTGGGAGATTTGGGCTTCTTAGGTGGTTTCTGCTCCCGTCGGGAGGGGCTCCCTCTCCCAGTTACCGTGAAGTCAAAGTCATTAGGGTCCAGGGAGGTGTCGCCTACCTTTTCGAAGTACGCAATCAACTCCACTTTAGAGCGGAAGGCTTTTCCCTGGGGACTGTGGGGACAAACAAAGAACAATTAGAAGCTGTGGGTGGCAATGTTGGAGATGGACAGAGCGGATGCTGGTGACACACACACACACACACACACACACACACACACACACACAGCTCTGACACAGTTTATTCCTGAAACATTAGTGACATTTAAGAAAAGCCAAGATGAGCTGAAACTAGGGCCAGACACAAGGTCACACAGCCCAGGCAAGGACAAGGGCACTGAGGGGCAGAGGCACGCCTGCTATAGACTGCTCTAGTGCTATGGGAGAGAGGCTCGAAGGAGCTACCCTCCACTCCAGCGACTCCTCTGTCCTCTTGCCCTGGCTCTGATGGGGCTGGCAGGCAGGGGCTCCTTCCACTGGCAGGTGCCTGGGCCTCGGCTTCCTGCTTCGGCACTTGGGCTCTCTGGGAACTGCTCTCAGGAGAAGGAAGCTTGGGAATAACTGATGAATGAAATGAGGTCGTCCACAAACGTCCCTGGAAAACTGCTTCTCTGAACTTCTGACTCGGGAGAGCGCTCGGCTACCAGTCCAGGGAAAGCTGCAAAGGGACATGTACCTCTGCTCCCAGAGGAAACCACAGTGAGAGCAGTCCCTGCTGCTCTTCCCCCGCCAGGTGAGGGCAGAGCCCCAGCCAGGCACTGAGGGCATCCCTCGCCCAGGGGGCGGGTGCATGTGCACGTTTTCCTGAGCAGTGCGCAGCAAAGGGTCCCTCCCTCTGCATTCCTGACTGACAGACACGAGACTTACTCTTACTTACTTGATCAAATACACATCATACTTCCCAGCGGAGCGGCCAGATTTCCTTTGCTTAAGCTTTCGTGTCCACCCTTCGGGCAGGGTAGGGTCATCATACATGGGTCCCCGGTCACGAATGATGGAGCGGCGCTGTTTGGGGGAAGCAGAAGCTTCTGGCACAGCTGGGGCGGAGCCTGAGCCTTCCGAGGTCTCTGCTTTGCCTGCCTCTGCCGGCTCGGCAGAGTGGTGGGCTGCGGGCTGCAGAGGCTCATGTTTGCCCTCCTTGTCTTCCTTCTTGTCCTTCTTCACCTTTTTGAATTTGAGGGGCTTGTCCTTGAGGCCCTGGAGGTCCTGGTCTTCCGACTTTTCTTCCCTGAAGTGTTAAACAAGTATGTAAGCATCTCAGAGAAGCACTGAGCGGTCTGCAGAGAACCAGAGCAAGGGTGGGCACAGCCTAGGCTGTGCGTGGCGGGACTGCACAGGACAACGGAATGCCAGGCCAGAATGCAGCCCAAGTGCACCTGAGCTGCACTACGGCCACCGCCAAGCCCAGTGGTGGCACTGCCAGCAGGTGATGAGGCCTTTCGGGACAAGACTCTGGCACCGCCCCTTGCCCAATCTTGCCTCAGTGCCTCTGGGCTTGGGTCACTATTGGAGAGAGAGCTGCCAACCTAAAAAGGGAGTGGGGTTCCCTTCACCAAGGCCCAGTGCTCTCCCGTGCACTAACATACCTATCAAATGTGCACTCCATAAAAACAGCTCATGAGGCATAGTACAAACCGCTGAGGGGATCCAGGCCCACAGTGGCATGCCATGGAACATGGGAACTCTGCAAGCCCCATTCCAGATGCAGACTTGCTGGCAGTCACAGAGAAAAGGCACCGAGGTGCTTTAGGAATGCTGCTGCCCAGGGTGCTGTTGCTGGGGGAAGAGCAGAGACCCCAGGCCATGAGCCACTCCACCCCTTATAAGGAAGGGCGGTGGCCTCAGCGAGTGCAGGCGGCAAAGGGAAAAGCTGAGGCCTGGGCAGAGCCCCGCGCTTCCTCCCTGCTGCCAGGACAGCGTCTCATTCTGGAGAACTGCAGGGCTATTCCCGCCATCTGTGCCCTCATGCCTAGACTGTCCATGCTGATCGCACTGCCTGGGGGCTGAGGTGCACACGCAACCACCCCTCTCCTCTGTACTACGGAAGCTGTGCAATGAAGGCACCAGGGCATGCCTTAGCAAGCACTGCCAGGAAGCTAGGACTCAAATGACATGGCTAAGGCACCAACGGCTGCTCAGTACCAGCACTCAGAAGGCCCAAGGACACAGTTTTCTAGACAGTCAGGTATGAGGAGGCAGGAGTGGCTTCTGTCCAGCAACAAGAGCTTTGTGAAAGAATGTCCCAGCCCCACTCCGACATAACACCCAGTTCCTTTCTCTTCTGTATAGTATGGCTGCTGGGGTCACTTGGAGCCCGTCTGCGCAGAGGCACTCTGCACATCCCGGGGTACCTGTGTTTTGCTTTAAAGTGGGTTTCCCTACGCCTTCCCGCTTCTTCAGTTCTCCAGTCCTGATGCTTCTCAGTGGGGAGTGAGGAACAATTCTGGGAAGCTAGCCACCTGTTGCACCTTTGGGACCAATCCACTGGCAGCTCTCTTAGAGGAGGAGAGAAGGGAGCTTGTCAGCAGGAAGCCCAAGGCCAAGGCCAGAGTGTGGGACAGATGGGGCTCATCTTTTCCAACCAACCCATCAACCATGGCACTGCTCAATGCCAAGGCTGTCCCTAAGCTCTCTGGTCCTGGGGTGAGAGCCATCACCGCACACATCACAATGCATGCAGGCATTTCCAAATGCCCGAAGTGCATGAAGTCAAGTACAACCCATACGATTGAATGAAGACCTCCACAAATGCCCTGAAGAAGCATCCGTGTGCTGCAGCCTGCAACCGGAACACTTGTGGGGTACTCTATGGTCCGCCCTGACACACTGATTTTAGGGTAGAGTAAAAAAGCAAAGTGCAAAAACATGTAGCACAAGCTACTTCCTATGAGAGAAAGGAGGGGTGTTAAGGAAGGACGCGCCAGGGACTAACAAACCCAGGTCCCCCACATGGGAAGGTGGGAACAAGAGGTATCTATTGGCACTGCATTGAGCTCTGGCCCTCACACCTATCTCTAAGTAGGATCTGACTTCTGAATCATTTCAATGTTTACATTACCAAACATAAAATTGAAAGAAGAATCCGTAAGAGCCGATTACATTAAACAGCACCGGGAATTCCTTGGAACTCTCCAACTGATGGCATACCAGAGGACATAAGTTTGGACCACAGCATCCTGGACACTCCGGAGGGACATTTTCTGAGGCCAACAATGACACCCAGGAGTAGTGAACAAGCCAATACCAGACTGGGCTGAGGGCCAATGGGTAATCCTGGACCTGTCAGAACCTCTGGCAGTGATCTTGGTATAGCCAAGGCTGGGGGCATTCGGGATCTGTCTACAGAGCTGACTGGTAGAATGGTACAGGAGCAAGAGCCAGCAAGAATTAAAGAACACTTTCTTTCCTTCTCTTTTTTTTTTTGAAGATTTATTTATTTTTATTGGAAAGTCAGATTTACAGAGAAGGAGACACAAAGATCTTGCATCCAGCTGCAGGAGTTATTACCAACACAGGGCGTGCTCTCCACACTGTCTTGGATGGCACCAGTAGACTCGGGGACACCCGAGTAGCAGGGGAGGTCACTGAGGGCAGCAGTGTCCCTTTGGCTGACACAGAGCCACAGACTGGACTCAGCATCTTAAGAGAAAATCCCAGCTGGGGAGAAGGGGAGGCTTATGGGAGGAGGAGCCGAACCACCATCGATAATGCCTGCAGTCCATGTTGGAGCACTGCTCAGAACGCTGCCTGCTCCAGGCTGCTGCTCCAGCTCCCTGCTAAACCCCGGCAAGATGCTCTAAGCATGTGGGGCCCTGCCGCCCGCTGGCCGCCAGAATGGACTTCCTGCTCCTGGATTCTGCCCATCTGGGAAGTGAGCGAACAGATGGAAGATGATCTCTCTGTCTCTCTCTTTCAAATAAATAGAGAGCACATTATAAGAATGTCCTAAAAAACATAACATCCTAATTATACCCACAAGCTGGCCAAAACTTAAGGAATACAGGCCCAGCAAAGTGGCCTAGTGGCTAACACACTGGGATCCCATATGGGTTCTGGTTCTAATCCTGGAGGCCCTGCTTCCCATCCAGCTCCCTGCCTGTGGCCTGGGAAAGCAGTGGAGGACAGCCCAAAGCTTTGGGACCCTGCACCCACGTGGGAGACCTGGAGGAGGTTCCTGGCTCCTGGCTTCGGATTGGCTCAGCTCCAGCCGTTGCGCTCACTGGGGGAGTGAGTCATCGGATGAAAGATCTTCCTCTCTGTCTCTCCTTCTTTCTATACATGTATCTGACTTTCCAATAAAAATAAATAAATCTTAAAAAAAAAACCCTTAAGGAATACACAGGATAAGGAATAAAGAAACTGAAGCCTGCATTGTGGTGTTAACTGATTAACCCACCACCTGCAATACTGGCATCCCATTTGTGCACCAGTTACCATCTCAGCTACTTTGCTGCTGTTGCTTCTTTTTAAAAAGAGTTACTTCATTTTTATTTGAAACACAGAATTACATGGAAAAGGAGAGAAACAGATGTTCCATTTACTGATTCACTCCCAAGTGACCGCAATGGCCAGAGCTGGGCAGGAACAAAGGCAGGAGCTTCTTCCAGATCCTCTCATGCAGGTGCAGGATCCCAAGGCCTTGAATCGCCTTCTGTTGCTGTCCCAGAAGTACTATCAGAGAGTAGGATCAGAAGTGGACTAGTCAGGACTTGAACCAGAACAACAATGGATTCCAGTGCCATAGGCAGAGGTTTAATACACTATGCCATAACACTGGCCCTAAAATAAATCTTAAAAACAAAAACACAGGGGTCTGGTGCGATGGTTCAGTGGCTAAAATCCTCACCTTGCATGTGATGAGATCGCATATGGGCACAGATTCATGTCTTGGCTGCCCTATTTCCCATCCAGCTCCCTGCTTGTGGCCTGGGAAAGCAGTGGAGGACGGCCCAAAGCCCTGGGACGCTGCACCTGTGTGGGAGACCTGGAAGAAGTTCCTGGCTCCTGGTTTCGGCTTGGATTAGCTCCACCCATTGTGATCACTTGGGTAGTGAGTGAACCAATGCATGGAAGATCTTTCTGTCTCTCCTTCTCTCTATAAATCTGCCTTTCCAATAAATAAATAAATACCAGTTTAAAAAGTCTGCTACTCCCCCCCCCCGAACCCCCAAGAACAAGGAAATAGAAAAAAACAGAACAACTGAATGTAACACGTCATCCTGGCATTGGCTTCTGAGTTGAAAGGCAGCACTGAAACGCACTAACACAGGAACCTGGAGAAAGGCGAACACAGTCCCGTAGGAGACAGTGGCATCACTGCACTGCCTGCTCTAGGGTGACTGCAATTACATTTCAAATGGGAAATGGTTTTATTTATTTGCAAGGGAGAGGGAAGGGATGGAAAAACAGAGTAAATGAAACTGATCTTGTATTTTTCGTCCACTGCTTCATTCCGCAAATGTCTGTAGCAGCCAGTGCTGGGCCAAGCTGCAGCCAGGAGTCTGTGACTGTTCTGGCCTTGTGCAGGGATGGCAGGGCCCAAGTACTCGGTCATCATCTGCTGTCTGGCAGGACTCTGAGTGGTACTCCACTGTGTGCAGAGGTCGTGCCACAGTGTTCACTGCAACAGAGCAAGGTCGTGCTACACTGCCACGAGCAAGCTTATTAACAAAGAATTATCCTCATGTTACACAAAGACACAGAGAGAAAAAGGTGTCAACTTCAAGGAAGTTTCTTGTTTTACTTGTTCAAGGAAATCACTAGGGTTTGCACAGTGTAAATGAAAATAGTGCAGAGTAGTCCTGCATTTAAGAACGCATTGCGTAGGGCAATGCTGTGACACCTGCAGCACCGGGATCCCTTATGGGCATGAGTTTGTGTCCTGGCTGCTCCACTTCTAATCCAGCTCCTTGTGTGTGGCCTGGGAAAGTACAGAGGATGGCTGAAGTCGTTGAGCCTCTGCACCCACATGGGAGACCCAGAAGAGATTGCTTCCTTCAGACATGCCCAGCTCTGGCCATGGTGGCCATTTGGGGAGTGAACCAGCAGATGGAAGATCTGTTTCTCCTTCTTTTGGTAACTGTCTTTCAGATAACAATAAAATAAAACACAGTTTTAGGTTCTGGTGACCAAGAATGGCAACTTCACCATGTCTTACATTCTTTCAACCAGAATGGTTAACGGCTTCCTTGGTGTGGTGGCCGCCATGTCGCACAGGCTGAGTGGCCA